TTATAAAAAATTTTAACTCAATAATAAAGTCTCATTTAAATTAAAATATAGCAATACCAGTAAATGTATGAGTTTTTTTATTGTTCCTTGGAGAAGCGATGTTAAAAAAAATGTACATAAGAAACTAGACTTTATTTTGTTTGTACTAGCGGCTGTTTCGTAATCTATTTTATTCTTCCTGTTTCTGTTTTTTTTGTCACTATTTTTAAAGAGAAAGGTGTCCTTCTTTTTTTCCTTAAACTATGCTCTCTTTATTAGGTCTTAAACAAACTTAACTGCACTCTTAGAACAGACAACATCAATTCCCTTAACTGTTGTTCTATATTCTTAATAGAAATCGTTGAATTTCGAAAATTCTGGTGGAGTCTTCATCCATTGAGATTCTGCTTTTCCATGCCTAAGCATGTCAAAAACTAGCCACGAATTTTCTGATTTTAATAGATTCAAACTAGGAGGCTGCCATGTGTCATCGACATGTGTCGGTGCCAAAGAACTTAACTCTGCTTTTAGAAACCACTCTGTATAGAAACGAATAAATCCATATCAGTTTTACTTCTTTATGTTTGCCAGTCAGGTTTTGGGTTTCATTCATTAAAAGATAAAATTTTAAGTAGTATAAACCTTTTCTCATAAATCTTGAATGGTGAACTGGAAGGTGGTAAGTGAAACTTAAACCTATTTGATGATAAAATCATTTAAGTAAGTTCAGCTAGCTCATGGTATTCTTTTCTAATATTTCAGTCCTAAAATATTTTGAATATATTATAAATTTATAATAAATGTTACTTTTTAAAATATAGGTTTAATAGAACATGAATAAAAATAAAAATATTACCTTTTCGAAGATCTTTAAACTGATCGCATTATGACAAAACTGAACAGCAGCTAGTTTTTGATTAAATATCCATGCTCCAGGTGGTTTTATTATACTTTTCAGTTCCTCAGTTTGAGCGTCTATACTATTTTATTGCATTATTTACTCCCTTTGTTAATTCAGTAACTATTTTTCCATCAAAGTGTATAGTCCTTAGTGAATCTGATAATATTGCAGTTTTTTTGTGTATTCTTTTATTTCTTTAGCCCTGACAGATATTACGTTCCCTGCAGCTCTTTAAGATGTGGATTTAAAACAATTAAAGTTCGCTACAGAACCACCAGCCATGAAAATAACAATTTTACCACTGCTGAATGAGCGGTTGACGAAGAAATATTTTTAGGAGAAAAGATCAGAATTTTAAACATTAGGATGAGCATTAAAATCAAAGTCAACATCTGCTTCCTCGCCTAATTTGTCGCTAGTGTAACTAGTAGAACTTTGAAAGTCTAAATCATTCTTATATAATTCCACTGACGAATTTCTATTTAACCTTGATGTGCATCTTTTACTTCTTACTGCAGATTTCTCATATCTTTTATCTCTACCTCCAAGACATCCTTTTCTTTCACTAAACTGGTCTTTGAAGAAAACAATATCTTTCTTTTTTTCTTTTCTTATTTTATCTTTTAATATTTCTTCAAACATAACATGAGGATGTTCTCTCATCCAAAATATATATTTTTTAATTTCTCTACAAACAAATGTCTTTTTTTATTTTAGCAGGATTTGTTCTGTGTATTTGATCTTTTAATTTATTCACTTCTTCAATTTTAATCCTGTAAAAATATTATTTAACAGCGTATTTATGGAATAAACGTGGTTTATATTAATTTAGAAGTTATTGAAAATATTACTTTAGCTTTTGTATTGTAAGCACTTTTAATCCACCGAGTATCCAAAAAACCATTAGTTTAAAGAGTATGCAGCAGTCGGACTGATCAACTGAACAATTAGGTATAAAAGAAGTACTTTTGTTAGAACAACCTACTAAGAACTTCACTTTTTCTTCACACTTTTTCGTAGATAGAGATAATATTGAATAATTTCTTTAGCAGCTGCAATTTTTTTTTGCTGGAAGTTTTTCGATTAACTTTTTAACTAAAAATATTTGATCCAATCTAATACTTTTAACTTTTGGTTGCATTATATTAATTATTTAAGTAAATAATCTAAAAAAATTTAATATAAAATATGATATCATAAAACTTCAAGCCGACATAATAAAAACCCAAGCCGACATAAACAAAGCAGTGAAGTGTTCGCACACATGTATCATGTCATTTAATGTTGACAAGAGTAAAGTCATGCATACTGGGCGCAGTAATAACATAAAATTGACTGCAATTTATACAATGAACTCGGACGATCAACTGCACCAGCTATCATGCACGTCATCAGAACGAGACTTTTGACTAGCAACCTAAAAGTTATTAAAACAAGTCTGTGCGGCTGCATCAGCTGGCAACCGAATGCTTTGCAGGCTCTGCATTATGGCGCACACTGTATATTTCTATATATTTTGTATGTTTCTGTATATAGCTCAAAATTGTCTGATAATTAAAAGATAATTCCAACCAACTTCGCTTAAAATAACGGAAAAAAATTAACAATTAAGTTCTAATTAAAATGAGAAGTATAAACAAACTGATAGCATAAACAAAATTTCTCTTTACCTAAAGTTAAAACACTATTAAATGTGAAACTTAAACCTTATTATGACATACATGCTTGACTACTGTAGAAGTAATGTTAAAAGTTCTAACATTAAAAATTTTTTATTTCTCAATTCAATCCTTTCTCTTCCAACTGAGAAATACTGGTTCCTTTAAAAGATAGAGCGCAAAAAGCTACTTTATCAGGTATAATTTATATGACTTCAATATATCGAATGAAGTATCCATGCGTTCAACAGTTTATGATGTTGTTAATAAACTCAAAAGAAGTAAATATGTATTAGAATGGCAATAAAATGCAAATGCAACCTGATAATAACCTGATAAACTTGATTGACTAGTATCTAAGTGTCTGTCTGTTATTTTGGCGCTTGACGCACAAAATAACAGACAGACATTGAGTTTTTTTTTTGTCTTAATTGTACAAGAAACAATTTTGCAATAAATGTCGATGTTATATCTTCATAAATTGCTTCTAACACCTAACACTTTTTACGAAATGTGGAAGGTCCAAAATAACATGATTGTTTTTATCATTGGAACGTATGTTATACTTTAGGAAAGCCTAAACAAACATAAGCAGCTAGTTTAGTAGATCCTTGATAACAAACTACCCATTTAATGTGTAAACCAGTTTCTTGATCCTTGTAAATGGTTTCACGTAGCAAATAAGCCAAGTTAGCCGATGATACTGTTGAATTATTATAAAAATAAGTTATTAATTGTTTCCATTTGTTTGCGAAGCCCATTACCTTAACTACTAAAGCCTCATGTAAAGGATCTATTTTTTCATAGTATAAATTGTCGAAAAATATTAAAATTTTTATCATATTAGTTAGCTTTAATGCCATCTCATCCATAACAAAACTGAGATCGAGTGATTGCATCAGAAGAATATTGTTATGACATTGAAATTTATTCCTTTACTCGTTTCTAATTGACTTTAAAAAAACTAACTTGTATACTATACAAATACTTATGATTAGTATTTCCTGGATAATTATAAAATATGTTTTAAAGAAGAATTGCAGTTTTTTCGGGTTTTTTTTTTTAACCTTGATTTAAAAAAAAAAACTGCTTTTTTTTGTTTTGTTTTGTTATTTTTACAAAATGTGATTTTATTGTGACAGCACTTGCTACTTACAGTTGTGTTATCAAATGACCTTAACGTAAGGCAAAAGTTGAAGTGTTTGGTCTTGAAAATGCGTAGGCATTGGCCTTAAAATCCCTAATTTCGTCCTTGACAAAATTAGTCTTGTTCTAGGGCTTGTAAGTTTTGACCTTGGTCTTGGCCTTGGCCTTGTAAGGCATAGCCTTAGCCTTGGCCTTGGTCTTGATACTTATGGCCTCGTTAACAATTCTGCCAGTCGGTACTTTTTAAAGATACACCCTCCCCCCATCCCTCTCAATTTATCTGTAGAATCGCCTCTGACTGGATAGCGTTTAACTGGTGGTTTTCTTTTGAAACTTAAAAGTGTAAAAGAATTTGGAAAGTTAAAAATAGTAAGAATTGGTAATTGTAATAATCGCTCTTTCATTACTTGTAGGATAATACATTGTATTTTCGAAACTTACATCTAAAAAATTAAGCAGTAAAAGAATATGTTTAAAAATACTAGAATGTTAATTTCTTAAACTTTTAATGAAATAAAAAAAGGTTTTATATAAAACATATTGATAAACTTGCCATTTTCCGCCTTTAGAAAGACGAACAAATGAAATACCTTTGCAGCTTTTTTTTTTACCCTTATTACCTCAGTTTATAGCAGCACAAAGTGATATTATTACTTTAATTAAGATCTAAATTCTTTTGATAGATACAAAAGAAACTAATCACTTATACATTATATTATATACTTTACATTATACATTATATTATATACTTTCCGTGGTTCGGCTCGACATCCCAGAAAAAATTGCAACAAAATTACATCGCGTTATATAAAATTATACCAGATTTAAAGCCTTAATAAAAATTAATCTTTCGCTAAATAAAAATTATGTGTAATCAAGTAATAGCAGAAGTAGTAGTAGTAGTAGTAGTAGTAGTAGTAGTAGTAGTAGTAGTAGTAGTAGTAGTAGTAGTAGTAGTCGTAGTAATAGTAGTAGTAGTAGTAGTAGTAGTAGTAGTAGTAGTAGTAGTAGTAGTAGTAGTAGTTAGTAGTAGTAGTAGTAGTAGTAGTAGTAGTAGTAGTAGTAGTAGTAGTAGTAGTAGTAGTAGTAGTAGTAGTAGTCGTAGTAATAGTAGTAGTAGTAGTAGTAGTAGTAGTAGTAGTAGTAGTAGTAGTAGTAGTAGTAGTAGTAGTAGTAGTAGTAGTAGTAGTAGTAGTAGTAGTAGTAGTAGTAGTAGTAGTAGTAGTAGTAGTAGTAGTAGTAGTAGTAGTAGTCGTAAAAACCATATTAATAATTTATGCATTTAAAACTTACTAGTAGTTTGTATTATTTTTTAGCACGGCATCATTTCGAAACTAAATGGAATCAAATCAAAAACGTTGTCATGAATATGACTTTTTTAAAGGTAACATTTTTTATTTACACGCCGAATATTTTTTACTCAACGATTCAATAATTACATTATTTATATAACATATAGTGTATATCGCAAAATTTTACGTCAGGAAAATTAAACGATTTTAAAAGCCTTAAAAATTAACAATTAGCATTTATATTGAAAATTGAATACTAGCTTTTAGTGGTCGTAGTAAACGTTATTTATATGCAGCGTATCATAAAAAAGCTATCTATTTGAATGTATACAAAATAAGTATGATCGTTTAACTAATTAACACTTAACGCGGTAGCAGGGCCGACGCGAGTACGTGTCGAGTAACTGTCACGTAGGGGGGGAAGGGGTGCTATTACAACTTTTGCCGACTGAAAAAAAAAAAAAAAAAAAAGGGTCCTCGTTTTCCAAAATTTGCCGACTGCCATGACGACATTTGCCGACTGTCTAACCTATATCGAATCATTGATGGGATGGGGGGGGGTGTCACACAGACCCCACACACCCCTATCGCGCCGGCCTTGCGTGGTCGTATACTATTAAAAAGAAATTGTGAATTTTAACTTTTTTTTAATTTTTAATAGTACATAAAATATATTATATCATTAAAATGAGAGTAAAAATTTTAAAAATTCAAAAAGTTAATTATGCGCATAATTATTGATTGACAAAAGGCCAAAAATGAACAACTGGCGGTAGGGTTTTTTCAGCAACCGTTAAAAAATTTGAACTGAAATTTTTGCAAGTGATCCTTTACTTATGCAATTCCAACATATACTAGAAGTTTTGGGTTATGATAAAAAAAAAGTCAAAATATATGCATTTTGGTTATTTTTTGAAGCTTTTTTTTGAAAGCACACACAAAAGTAGAACACGATAAGCTGTGAACTTAATTCTAGTAGAGGTTGTAAATACATGTGATCCAAACAAGTGTGCCAAATTTCAGATCAAATCGGTTATCAGTTCGAAAAATATCCCTGCCGCCAGGCTATAAAACATGATTTTGAGAAAAATTCATTTTAAAAATAAATACAATAAAAATTGTTCAAAAACCTCCTCTTCAATAAACTGCACCTTCTAATCTTTCGTTTGATCGCAAAAACCTTTTTGTATAGCTCTTAATTTCTTATATCTTGATTTCACTTTACTTGTACATTGTTATACGGCTTTAGAAATACGCTTAGAGTCATTCTTAAGACAAAAATTATGTAAATTGCAACCTTCAGTTACTTTAAACTTATCAAAAAATCCCTCCAAATATAGTTGTCCATTATTAAAGTAAAGAACAGCTGATGCCACTCCAACACATAGGGCAGTTCTTTCAACAAGTATATCGTTTGGACACCGCTTCTAGATCAATTGATTCAGCGCCTCATTAGGATTCTGTGTTTTACCAAACAAAAAATTTTCTAAAAGAACATCACTACCAAGATCTATAAATATTGGTTTTATAAAATTCCTCACAGCAGCAGTATAACAAATATTTTCTTTGTAAGTTTTTTCCCAGTTACTTTATCAGTCTGGAATCTGCATCAAGAATCTTTTGAGCGCAAACAAAATTAATGGCGTGTTTCATTGTCATAACTTACAGAACAGTGAAAAAGAACAGCTGCTACACTCTTTTTTTTTTTTATAAATTACCAATGTTCTGTCTAATTGCAAAATGACTGGAACTTTTCGTACTCAACTTGATGTGTGTATTTTCTTAACTTCCACAATGAACATAACTTACATGTTTTTGTTTCAATTTAAAAGTCAATACATTTGCCACTTTCGACTGAAATAGCAGAAACAACTCCGTTATTTGAAGTGAAACCACGTCTTTGCCATGAACCATCAAAGCTACACATAATGTCTCTTAATGTTTCACCTGTAGGGATTAATTCATCAGCAGCATTTTTTATATTTTCATCAAATAAATTTTGTTAAACATCCAAAAGGTTATGCAGCGTTGTGTTGTAACTCCTTTTATTCATAGGTCGTTTCATATTCTTTACTCCACAAAATTTTTCTAATGGTGATAACCCTTTACCCATTTTACAAAAGGCCAAAATAACACGTGTGTTAATATCAAATGGTTTTTGTCTACTGCATTTGCCTTTACCAAGCTCTTGTTGTTCAACTAGTTTTTTTTAAAAAATGTATTAGATGAAAAAAGTTTTCCGATTGCAACTATTACTACATACTTTTAATCTAATACTCAATCCTTTTTTGAAGAATCAAACATTAAATTAACATTATTTTTGCACAAATTTAGACATTTCAGTAACAATATTTTATTTTCCAATATATTAAAGTTCATAACAAAATTAAAATCTGTTTTATAAAGATCATTAAAATCATTATCAGCTATATTTAATTTTTTTGAGGAGGCAGATTGTGTTGCTGTTTCAACAAAAGATAAAGATGTTGTTTCTTAAGAAAGGATTTTTGTGTATCTGTTTCCACAAAACTTAGCTTTTTTATTATTGTATATTCTGTTCAATAATTATTTTCTTTTTGATCCACCCATAAAATAATTATTTTAAAAAGATAACAAAGATACTATAAAAATTAAGTTGATTGCACTTGAAGTTGACTGAAGCATAAAAAGTAAAGCATAAAAGCAAAGACGTCATTTAAAGACATAATATTAAACTAATAAACAAGAAATCGTTGTAGAGTACAACTTCCACTTTATACAACTGACAAGTATGGCTTTTTATGTTTAACTTGTTTCTAAAGCACATAACAACGGAAAAAATAAAGCGTTGCGAAGGAAAAAAAATAAAATATTTCACACCGTTATATTCTAAACTGTTTTTAATCTTGGAAGCATTATTTTTTAAATTAAATCAACCAGAAATTCAAATGCTGTTATAATTATAATAGTTAAAAAATGAAAAAAAAATTTTTTACAGTTTTAAATTATTACCATATATATATTTCGTCAACAAACATTCATTTTACAATATTTTTTGTGAAAATTAAAAATTAAATCTTTATATTCTGACAGGAGCAAGTAGAAGACAATGCGTCTTAACACCCTGCTCCTAAGTTCGTGAAAATATCAAATAAGATTTACGTATTAAGTTCCTAAAATATACGTTATATAAGTTTTATACACATTACAAGTTTTGTACATACTATAACATATTACAGTTCATAAAATATATAAGTTATAAGATGCATATATAGGTGTTAATAAATCGATATATAAATGTTTTTAAAAATATAAAAGAATGTTTTTATTATTTAAATCTAATAAATATCGTTTAACTGCTCTTTTAAATAGTTCAATTGAAGTCATGTTTTTCATGTCTCTATTAAGGAAATAGTTCCACAAACGCGGTCCTCGACATGTAATTGAGAAGTCTGTTTTTCTAAGAGATGTTATAGGGATGAGAAAGTTGCCAATGGAATGTCTTGTAGAGTATTTATGATTAATTAAGGTAAAATGCGGTTGAAAATATGTTGGAAGCATGTTGTAATGAATTTTAAACATAAATAACAGATTTTGATAGATGTTTAGTTTATAAATATTTAAAACATTAATTTTTTTAAGTAAAGGCTCGGCGCATGCATATCTACCTGCATTGCTTGCTTTTGTTTGGTATTATTATTTTTTAAAGAAGATGAATAATTACTTACCCACACTATATTGCAATAACTAATGTGATTATGAATAAATGAAAAATACAAGCTTTTTAAGCACATTATATTCAAAAGGTGCTTCGTTTTGAAAAGGATCCCAAGAGCTTTTGAAAAGCTATTTTCCACTAATTGGATTTGATTTTTCCTGTTTAAATGATCATCAAATATTATACCTAGGATTTTCTTTGAATGAACTCTTTTTACTTTAATGTTGTTTACAAATAAATCAGGAAGTTTAAGGGGTATGTTATCAGTTTTTGAAGGTTTCGTGAACAGAATGTATTTAGTTTTATTAATGTTTACGGACAGTTTATTGGCTTTAAACCATTCATTGAGATAAATTAGCTCTGTGTTTACAGTAGAAAAAACAAATTTTAGATTAGACCCCGAAAAAAAAAAATACTATTATTAGCAAAAAGAACAAAATTAAGGAATTTAGAGGATAAGTGGATGTCATTGATATATAAGAGATATAGCAGAGGACCAAGTATTGAGCCCTGAGGGACACCGCAACTAATAACTTTTAACTGCGTCCAAGTTAAATCATACCTCACACATTGTTTACGGTTTTGTAGATAAGACTCGATCCATTTTAGATTAGTATTTTGAATTCCGTCGACAGTGTCGAACGCCTTCGATAAATCAACAAAAACTCCAAGTGTATAATTATTGTCATCAAATCCTTTCAAAATATTGCTAGCCAAATCCATCACAGCATGCTCAGTGCAATGATTTCTCCAAAATCCAATTTGTTTAGGATATAAAATATTGTTTTTATCAATGAAGTTATATATTCTATTATACATAATACGTTCGAGAACCTTTAAAAAACAGGAGAGAATTGAGATAAGTCTGAAGTTTGATTCTAAAGAATCGTCGCCGTTTTTATATATTGGAATTATTTTAGCAAGTTTTAATTGATCAGGAAAGTCCCTGTTTTTTAATGAAAGTTTAAAAATAATGAAAAGAGGCAATTCGACAATCTCAAAGACACTTTTCAAAACATTTGCATTAATTTCATCAAGACCTGCACTTTTATTTGTCTGAAGCATATCAAACGCTGAACGAAGTTCATCAATGGAAAGTTCCGAGTTGCCCATAATAAAATCTGATTTTCTCAAAAAAGAATGGAATGTTTTGCTACTTGGAGAGATTTCCCAAATTTTTCCCAACATTTATAAAAAAATTATTCAGTCTCTCAGCAATTGTTTTTTTTATTAAAAATTTTTCCTTTATCGGTTTTCAGTCGATTAGGGAGCTTGCTAGATGTAATTTTTGTTTTCCCTATTGTATCTTTAATTATAGTCCAAGTTTTTTTAGCATTTCCAAATGATTTCTGAAGTAGACCAGAATAGAAGTTTTTTTTAGATTGCTTTTTTATTTTTTCGAAATAGTTTTTGTATTTTTTTAAATTTATTGTAAAGCTTTTTTTTTTTTTGATGATTTTAAAAGACCTTTAGTCATGCACGGGGGTATGCAAACTTTTGGATTTTATATTTTTTCGAACTTTAGGAAAAGCTTTATCATATTGCCTTGTAAAGACGCGAATAAAGAATTCGTATGCGCTACATGTGTCATTGCAATCATTCAAATGCTCCCAATTGATTTCACGCAAAAGCTGTCTAAAAACTGTAATCGAATCTTTGTTTACATGCCTTATGTTTACTGTTATGGGTTTTTTATTTATACAGCATTTAGTATTTGTTGTTAAAAAAACAGGAAAATGGTCACTAATATCCGTTTTTATTATACCACTGTTGATTGTCGAGTTACTATAATAATTAGTGATAATATTGTCAATAATAGATGATGTTTTTTGAGTTACACGCGTCGACTTGTTAATCATGGGGTAAGCACTAAATTGAGAAAGAGTGTTTATAAAACTTTTTACGTGGTTATCAGTGTTTAAATTTATCAAGTTTAAGTTAAAGTCTCCGAGTAAATATAAATGATTTTTAGAGGTTTGAATTAATATTCGCCTTAAGTCATTTTCAAATTGATTGTAACTGCCATTGGGTGGTCAATATAAAACTGTTATAAACAAATTTTTTTTTTTTACATTTTTTTACAATGCACTAATCTTTAAAAACGGAGCAATTTCTATATTTTATTTTAATTACTTTCCATTTTTGAATGTTTTTTTCTTTTAACTTTGGTTTTTTGTCTTTTATTTTCCTTTATCGTTTCTTTTTATATTTTATTTCTTTTGTTAATTAGTTTGATTTGGTTTTTAATTTTTTGTTTGTTTTTTGCTTTTTCATTTCTTTCTTTTTCTTTTCTTCATTCTCTTTATTTTCATTTTATTTATTTTTCTTATTTTATTCTTTATCTTCCTTTCTTTTTTTTTTTTTTTTTTTTTTAGTTTATTTATAAACACGAATTTTTTTCTTTACATTTTTTTACAAAGTTTTTTACATCAAGCTTCTAAAAAAGGAAGACTTTAAAGCCTCTGAAAGCTTTGATTTTTTTTTGTCATTAAATTAAGGAAAATTTGCCCTTTTTTTCATCAAACTTCTCAGAAAAAAAATACCTCCGAGTGCGATTAGGCTTGGATCTCAGAAACCTTGTCAAAATAGATTATGTTTGTGGTCTTTTTTATTGAGAAAAATTAATTGAAGAGTTTTTCAATTTTTTATTCCTGCATTCTAAAGCTTTCAAATAAAACATTCTAATCGGCAGGTTATTTGAAATTGTCACATGATGACTGTCGATAACTTTTTTGTGCATAAAGAAGACTTGCAATACCGGTGGTTATGCTTTTAAAAAAAATGCTAGGAAGTGTTTTAACACAAAAACTTGATTAGATTAAGTTTGATCTTCTTTTCAGAAGTTTCACTTACGTCTCATCATATTCCATTATTGTAATTAGGTTTACTAATACAAGCGTTACAAGAATACCAATAAAAACGCTTAAAGGACATAATTTTTTTTTTACTGATTTCGCAAATTCTTGGGAACCTTGAGAAATCAGGCCGGATAAGCCTCTAAAGTTAAGAAGACTGTTCTTTTTTTGAATAAACTAATAAAAAAACAAAATTAAAAAAAACAAACACATATAACTAGAAAATTAATAAGTCGATTGAATCTATGACAAAAGATCTATGGTCGATCTTAGCGCTTTGTTCACTAAACCAAGCTTACTAAAAGACCGCTCTCCTTCAGCGACGTAAACAGGAATTGCGGTTCTTTTCTAGTTGTTCTCATTTAACAGTTTTATCAATGTAACAACGGATTCACAGCCTCAAGGCGTGTAATTCATCGGGTTCGCACGATTTGATTACTATTTGTTTCGGTAAAGATTTTCTTTAAAATAGGACTTCCCAGCTAACACAAAACGTTCAAGTACGTTCGACAAACGTTGTGAACGTTTGAGCACGTTCTATGAACGTTCATAAATCGTTCGTAGAACTTTTTTGAACGTTCGCAACGTTTGTTGAAAGTTTTGTGTTAGCTTGGTTCCAATAAAAATAAAGTAAAGTAAATTAACCCGACCAAAATAGTTTTTTGCTTAAATAGAAGATTCAGCGGGATGAACACCAGCAATGTTAAGATTATGAGCTTGAGGATTCTTTATAAGTATGATGGCTTGTACTCTTTTATACACACTTGACACGTTTGCTCCGTTGTCGTACTCTTGATCTCGGTAGTTTTTTAAATTGGTATCATTTTGATCCAAGACATCCATAATTAACTTTGCAAGGTCCAAAAACTTTGCAGTTTTCTTTTTTTCGAATTTTCTGACCCTGAGAAAACGCTCTTCAACTACCCATCTTTTATCAACACTATAGTTGATAAACTGAAAAAGGAAGGTAATTTGCTCAGTATGAGAGATATCAGGAGGAGATATCAGATTTACTATTCCATCAACGAGAATGGAATAGTAAATGACCACACTAGCCTCTCTAATGATGATACCGTGGACGATTACTCCGCACTCTTTGATTAACTCATTTTAAGAACAAAAACCGAAATAATGGGCGGTATTTTTTCAACATCTTGTTGGAAGTGGAAAGTTTGTTCTAGGTGTAACTGATTGGTCTTGCTGTGCTTATCAAGTAACTTTATATTGGTAAGAAAGGTGTTGTTATCATGATCACCAATCTTTTTTGATGATCATGAGACAAGGATTATAACTACACATATAAATCACATTTTTTGTAAGTTTTAATATATAAACCAAAATGTAAATACAAATATAATAGTTAACATTCATAATCGCAGCTCTTAGTAATGTAAATACAAATATAATAGTTAACATTCATAAACGCACCTTTTAGTATTGAACCTAAAAAAGAAATTTAAAACACGTCCTTAACGTTTAAAAGACGTCTTCGTTACGTCCCGTGTGCACTGTGTTCTAAAGCTAAGGTTACGTGATGCTAATAAGGGAGTTAGACCTAATCTACACTGCAAAAATTCACGCCACCAGGCTGCCTCATCTCTTATTGACTTTTCAAAACTTGAATTCATCCCACTCCAAGTTACCAAAGTTTCTAACGCTGTTTTCCGCTTCCGTTTTGATTCAGGTAGCATCTTATTATTCAAGTTTCCGGGAAGAAAAAAGTTTTTCAAAAAAATCTTTATATAACTACTGTATTGCGTTCTACTCAAAACAAATTTTCAGCCAACAAAGCAGGATTATTGGTGGTAAATAGCTCATCCACTGGCATTTTCTAATATTTTAAATAAAGAGATGAAATAATAAAAAAGTCAAATTTTTATTTACAACTTAACAACAATTCATAAAATAAATCTCATAAAACAGGTTGCACAAGAATGGATAAACTTTTTCAACATCTTGAAATAACTTAGAGGTATAGTTATATACCTAAAAAATGTTGCTTTATTCTCTTTCTATTTATTTTTATTTTGTATTACACAATCTTCAAGTGCACGTTTATTTTTTTGTTCTTTTGCTGTAACTTATTGGCAAAGTTTTTTTCTGCCTTAGGCAGAAAAAACCGTGCCAATAAGTTTTTTCAAAAAAAAAAAAAACTCGACAAAATCTTTTTTCTTGAAACAAATCTTTTTTCTTGAAACTCGACATTTTGTTTTAAATGTAGCCGAGTAACTAAAACCAAATAATAACATTTTTTTATAGTCTTTTATTATAAAACATAAACATAAGATATAAGAGAATATAAGTAAAAGTTATAAAATGTCTGGAATCAGGAAAATAAAAATTCATTTCAAAAAAAATGTTTTTAAATGTAGTTGACTCTTTTTAACTCAGTTAAAATAAAATCAAATAATTTTTTTTGACAAGTTTTTATTAGCATGGTTGCATCGAAATAAAGTACAGTTTACAAAAAATGTTTATAAAAAAAAATTATAAAAAAATCAAAACTTTATAATACCATTTAGTAGGATATATTTTATTTTAAGCAAAAATATAATCTCTTAAAAAAAGACTTATTATTATTTTTAAATTATTGTTTTTAAGATTATAAGTACTTTGAAAGATGTTATTCTCTAGAGAAATAATTAACTTCTGTTTTACTATGTCACATGTTTTCGAAGAACTTCTTATTAAGTTTGGTTGATTGATATATATTTTGCTAATTCATAAAGTTGCCATAGTATTTATACATTAAACTTTGTCTTAAACTTTTATTTAAAAACTAATATAGTTTAATTATTTTTTTTTAATTTTCATTTATAGATTTTTTCAAAAAAAAAAACGCTTTGCATTTGAAAAAACTAAATTGTTAAATAGATAAGTAATATTACCATTAAATGAGGTATTAAAATGACTATTCATAATAGTAACTATAAATACAATGCTAGGTGTTCAACGCGACAAACTTCTTCACGAAATTCATCGCCATTTTTCACAAGACACACAAAAGTCGGCTTTAGTACTATATGGAATGTCAGGTGTTGGAAAGACAAAAATTGCCAAAAAATACTGCGAAATTTATTCTGACTTCTATAAAAACATTGTCTGGATAGACGCAGCATTTGGAAAATTACAAACTTCTATTAGAAATCGCTGTCAAATATTAGGATTTGTTGTTCATGATTCGATAGGTGACTATTTTAATATAGAAGTAATTGTTGATAAAATTCACAACTATTACATAAATGAAAAAACTTTGTATATTTTTGACTATGTCGACGATAAAAGTGTTAAAGGTTTGAAAATGTGCATTTCAAGTAAAGCGAACTCGTATTCTTTAATTACCTCGCAATGGAGAACTTGGTCAAACAATGTAAATAAAATGTTTGTTGATGTTTTTTCTTCTGAAGATGCATTCGCTTATGTTAAAAATAATATTAAAGAATACGCGGACAAACAGATAAAAAATTTAGTTAAAGAACTTGGTTATCATCCTTTTGCTATAACGCAGGCAATAAAATATATAAATATACATAAAATTTCGATAGAAAAATATATTGATCGATATAGAAAGAAACCCTTAGAAATATTAGACACTGATAACTTTCCTACTGAAGACGAATCAAAGTCTGCAATAAAGGCAATCAACTTAATTTTATTCAAATTGAAAAAAACTAAAATTATTCCATTAGAAATACTTAACTGTTTATCTCATTGCGATGGTCAAAATATAAGTAAAGAATTTATAATCCAAATTTTAAATCAAATGGAAATAAAAGAAGAACATTTAATAGATGAAACTCTTGGATTACTAACAAGTTATTCGTTACTAAATTGTTTCGATGATAACAAATATTCAATGCACGAACTGACACAGTTGACGTGTAGATATTTTCAAAGTAAAAATTCAAGTACAAATACTTATCTTGATCTAATATAAAATTATTTTAAATTTGAGTTGAACCAAGTAAAGGATCACGTAGAATTCGGAAATCATTTCCTTTTTCATTTTCTTTATGCGTTTCGGATCAACGGAAAAAGAATGTCTAAAACCTTCCGTCATATGACAGCCTCCATTGAAGAGTTATTAGTATGTAAAGGTTTATTTGATGAAACAATCGAAATATTAAAAGCTATTCTAAGTTTTAATATAGAAACTTATGGTGAAAATGATGAACTCACGCTTTATACAAAACATAATATCGCAATCTGTTTGCACGAAATGGGAAAATATAACGAAGCTTTAAAAATTTATTATTCTGTTGAGAAAATACAAACTGAATATTTAGGTATCAACCATCCAGATACAATAATAACAAAACATAATATCGCAATCTGCTTGAAGAATATGGGAAAATATAACGAAGCTTTAGAAATTTATTATTCTGTTGAGAAAATTCAAACTGAAATTTTAGGTATCAACCATCCAGATACAATAAGAAGAAAACATAATATCGCAATCTGTTTGAGGAATATTGGAAAATATAACAAAGCTTTAGGAATTTATTATTCTGTTAAAAAAATACAAACTGAAATTTTAGGTATCAACCATCCAGATACAATAACAACAAAACATAATATCGCAAGTTGTTTGTACGATATGGGAAAATATAATGAAGCTTTAGAAATTTTATATTCTGTTGAGAAAATACGAACTGAAATTTTAGGTATCAACCATCCAGATACAATAGGAACAAAACATAATATCGCAAATTGTTTGAACGTTATGGGAAAATATAACGAAGCTTTAGAAATATATTACTCTATTGAGAAAATACAAACTGAAATTTTAGGTATCAACCATCCAGATACAATAGGAACAAAACATAATATCGCAATCTGTTTGGACAATATAGGAAAGTATAACGAAGCTTTAGAAATTTTATATTCTGCTGAGAAAATTCAAACTGAAATTTTAGGTATCAATCATCCAGATACAATAAGAACAAAACGCAAAATTGCAATTTGTTTGAAGAATATGGGAAAATATAACAAAGCTTTAGAAATTTATTATTCTGTTGAGAAAATACAAACTGAAATTTTAGGTATCAACCATCCAGATACAATAACAACAAAACATAATATCGCAAGCTGTTTGGATGATATGGGAAAATATAACGAAGCTTTAGAAATTTTATATTCTGTTGAGAAAATACGAACTGAAGTTTTAGGTATCAGCCATCCAGATACAATAGGAACAAAACATAATATCGCAAACTGTTTGAGCGTTATGGAAAAATATAACGAAGCTTTAGAAATTTTTTATTCTGTTGAGAAAATACAAACTGAAATTTTAGGTATCAACCATCCAGATACAATAAGAACAAAATATAATATCGCAATCTGTTTGGACGATATGGGAAAATATAATGAAGCTTTAGAAATTTTATATTCTGTTGAGAAAATACAAACTGAAATTTTAGGTATCAACCATCCAGATACAATAAGAACAAAATATAATATCGCAATCTGTTTGAGCAATATGGGAAAATATAACGAAGCTTTAGAAATTTTATATTCTGTTGAGAAAATACAAACTGATATTTTTGGTATCCACCATCCAAGTTCAATAAGAACAAAACATAGTATCGCAAACTGTTTGTACGATATGGGAAAATATAACGAAGCTTTAGAAATTTTTTATTCTGTTGAGAAAATACAAACTGAAGTTTTAGGTATCAACCATCCAGATACAATAAAAACAAAACGCAAAATCGCAATCTATTTGAGTAACAGGAAACAAGTTATTTAACAATTAGTTACATGTATTTTTTTTATATTTGTATGTATAACTTTTATAATTCTGTTGATAGAATAAAAGACGAATCCTTTAAAAGTTAGAGTGTCTCTTAAAGTATTTTTTGAATTAAATTATTTTTTTATAAATATTAGCATTTTAGTTGCGCAATTTCAAATAAATAGGGAAGGTTTCTCATCTTGATAATAATAAACATATGTTTATATTCTTTAAATTGTATGTATTATAAATGAAAGGTTAAAACAGGCATATATATATATATATATATATATATATATATATATATATATATATATATATATATATATATATATATATATATATATATATACTTATAATTATATATTTTAAGTCTAATTTACAGTTAAACCAATAAAATTTGTTTCCTGTGGAATTAAAAAAATTAGTACTAATATAATAGTTAAAACGATATAAGAACATTTAGCCGTGGCGTAACTATAAATTAGTAGCCCCCCTCCCCCAGCTGAAAAAGTAAAAGGGCCCTTCTTAGACTTTTTCTCAGTTTTTTCTCCAAAAACGCCCGTAGGGATACGTGAAAAATTATAAATTCATAAAATGTATTTGATAAAACAGAATTTAGTAACACTCATACTAATATTACCAGTCATATTATTCATATGAGTAAAATTTGTAAATCTCCGCGGGGACCTCTAAGCTCAGGAGCTCCCCCGCCTTGCGGGGTTATGCTATTCCCTAGTTATGCCACTGCATTTAGCTCTTATGATAATATTAGAGAGACTCATGGTGAGTCTCTATAGTATCCGGACATATCGCGACGTTAGAATTATCTTGTTCTATCTCCACTTTTTGAAAGAATTGAGTGAATGGTAGTGTTGTGTTCCTCAAAATAATGTCTTTCTACTGAATTGAAATCTAAGTTATAAGTAAAAAAGGTGCGGAAAAAACATTAGTTATAAAAAAAAATTTATACGGCGTCTCCTAAAGTTTTCGTTTTTTAATCGTTTTATCTCAAAACTAAAAAATGTGGAGATAGAACAAAATAATTCTAACGTCGCAATATAATGAAAATTCGGTATTCTTGAACCTTTATAAAAATTGCTATAATGCGAATAAAATATAAAATATTGTTTTCGAATTCTGAAGTAATGGATTTTTTCTCTTTTTTATTAATTATGGTAAATAATCTATAATATGTTTTTGTTTAAACATCTAAAAGCATTCCAAAAATTTTTTGATTAAATGAAAATTTTAAAATGAAAAAGAAAAAATGAAAAATTAAAATAGCTCATTAAGTTTAATGAAAATCGCCGCGGAAAAGAGCTTAAGAAGATTTCCTATATGTATTTTTGAAATAAATCACACATTTTTGTTAGTCTACATGAGACAATTGTAATTTTATCAATTGTTGAATACTGATATCTTTTCTCATCAAGTAATCTAATGGTAAAATGTTTTGTAATATGGTAACCAGTAGTTACGTACAGTAGGTACGGTACTTATTTTTAAGATTTAATAATAATTACTCACTCATGAATTCAAACTGATTGAATATGACGTGTTTGTTCCACATTATTTGAGCTGTTGTTTTTCTTTGCTGAAAGCTGGCATTTTGACTGACGCACAATAAACATCAACAGAATTCTAAATATTGAAACTTCTCTCGCTTATTAGAATATTATCTAGTAAAAAGTTGTTAAGGATATTACATTGTTCCGTGAGAGATCATTTGTTTTATCACCCCATGCCGTTGAAATAAAACTTATTATACCTTGTAGAGTTTCACTAAATAAAAACTTCACTGTGTAGTTATATTTACAACTTAAAAATGTTTGTGCTTTTACTAAAAAACTTGTTGAATAAACACAAAAGGAACCGTTGAGTTACTAACTTTCAAATAAGAGGCAAGGTCATTTAGGGTTAAAGTAAGACGTATTTTCATCAAAGAGAAAGTCAATTTAGTGAACTTTGACAAGCCGATCTTGATGTACGTGTCAGCACGTATGAAGTCACATAAAGTAATAAACATTTAAACATTCGTTAAACCAATATAAAATGTCACTTTGCTATTGGTAGAAAACCATTTTATAGTTCCATCTTTATAAAGGCTAAATTATTTATTTAACTGGTTAATCAGCCCTTTTCAAACAATTTAACTGATTAATCAGCCTTTTTCAAACAATTTAACTGGTTAAATAAAAAATTTAACTCGGTAATTAGTCTTTTTCAAACAATCTAAACAAGTACAACTACCTATGCATGGTTCTAATGTGAACTAAAAAGTTCTCAGGAAAATGCAATTGGAAAATTTGTAAACAGTAAATTTGTAAACAATGCTATCAAAGAAATATAGCCAAATGAAATAAAGATAATTAATTTCTGGCAGAACCTATTATCTTTTAAAAGGCCATCATCAAAGAGCCGTTTGGTTGTAAAAAACGGAGTTAAAGATGAACTTTTAGTATAAAAGCTTTTATTTTTCTACTATATCACACCTTTTGTAGCCAGATATTCTGAAAAATATCAAACAGATGATCCTATGTTGTCTTTTCTCGGCAATGACCTAGAGATGATAGATCCCTAATTCAGTTGGTTGTTAAAACTGATTTTAAATGTTATTCTGTTCTTAACTTATTAGAGCTTGATATTACTGATAAAGGTATTTATCTAGAGATAAAAGATATTCATTTAGATTTTCAACTAAAGGAAAACTTCAGAATTGATTACGTCAAGATGAAGTGAATTCTGCAGATGTAAAAAAAGTTTACGAAGGAAGCTGCAAATATGGTAATTTTTTTATTGGAGAAAATCACTCAAAAAATGTGTTTGATTCAAGTTCCTGTATATGACCAATCCAATCGATAGATCCAAATTCTGTATGCAACTGATCAAATTACGAAGCAAGATGAAACAACTCTTGACTCATTGAAGATTATCAATGCAACTTTAGCAGAGAAAGTTTTGCCCCAATATTCAGTTCTGTTGGCAGTGATATCTCAAGATCTCGAAATAATTAAGAGTTTTTAATTTGCGAGAGCGCAGGACTTAATAATTACTTTTTTTTCATAAACTCACTATACATACACCAAAGAGTTAAAATCTGTTTTGCTCTAATATTGGTTTTAGTGTCATGGTAAAACAAGGGTAGAGAGGAATTTATGTTATTAAGATTGTAACCGAAGTTAATTTGAAAAAAAGATTGATAATATATAGAAAGATGACAGGTGGACCATGTGTAAAAGAACAACCTGATACCTTCAACAATAAAACTAACAAACAAGTTTACAAGGTTTGTGAACGGCGTGTGCTAAAGATATTAGCTAGATCTTGATCAAGAGAGAAAGAATGCTAAGAAAAATCAAAGCAATCATCAGTTAAAAATTGTAACCAGAAAAGTCAGTGATGATTAAAAGGAAAAAATTTTTTACTAGATTTTTGCTACATTTTAAATATTAAGTTTATTTTTATCATATAAGAGACAGAAGAAAAAAAAGATTTGGAGTTATCAAA